AGGGTAACGGTCCCGGTCCCGCCGCGGCCCAGCCCTGTGGGCGCCGGGCGCTCGCCTTTGTGCCCGGGGGAAGCTGTAAAACCTCCGGGCGGCGTGGGCAAAGACAAGCGCGTTTCGTACACGGGCATAACCCGCTCGCTTCCTCAGGGGCGCGTCCCTGGCCTCCCTCAGCGCGAAGCCCCGGGGGTCCCGCAGTGTTCCCTCACTTGGCTTTCCCTGTGAACGCGTTTGACCACGCTTTCAGCCAGGACACTGGAAGAAGAAAGGTTTAAAGGGCTTGATGTTGCTCCGGGGGAGCTGGAATGCGGCCGCTGCACAGCTGACAGGGTGCGATGCTCTCCGCTGCCACGCGCCCGGCACGTTTTTGGCTTCGTGTGCTGCTGTCGCTTCCAGGGACGACAAGAAATAATAGCTTTTCAGTAGAAAACTGGCATTTTCCAATAGCCAGAAAACAGGGTCAGTTGGTGTCTGATAGGGCTACAAAAACGATGCAAGGGCTGGAGCCCCTCTCCTACAAGGACTGAGAGAGCTGGGGCTGTTCAGCCTGGAGAAGAGGAGGCTACGGGCAGAGCTGATTGCGGCCGTTCAGTGCTTGAAGGGGGCCTGTAGGAAAGATGGGGACAATCTTTTTAGTAGGGCCAGCTGTGACAGGACAAGGGGTAATGGTTTGAAACTAAACCAGGGTAGGTTTAGACTGGATATAAGGAAGAAATTCTTTACAATGAGGGTGGTGAAACACTGGTAGGGGTTGCCCAGAGAGGTGGTGGAGGCCCCATCCCTGGGAACATTCAAGGCTGGGTTGGACGGGGCTCTGAGCAACCTGATGGAGTTAGCGGTGTCCCTGCTCACTGCAGGTTGGGCTAGATGGCCTCTGAAGGTCCCTTCAACCCAAACCATTCTATGATTTCTATCGACACCTGCGTGTTTCTCCTTGTGTAACAGCAGAAGTTCAGAAAGACACAGGGTTGACCCCTCACCCTGGATCTACCAACCTTGGTCTCGCTTTGTTCCCTACGTGGCCTGGAAACGTTTTTTGCCAGAAGCGGGATACAGATAGTCTAATTCACTTTCCTGCTTTGTCTCCCTCCAGACATAGTCTTGTTTTAATTAAATTACCTTACCCCAATGAATGAAAATACAAACAACAGAGCATATTCCACGTTGAATTTTTCCACAGCCCGTTTTCTTAAAATTCCTCTCTCTGCTTTTCAAGGTCTTTTAGACAGAACGCACGTACCGTGTGAGCCTCCCTTCGAATACTCTAAGGATTAATTGAAGAACGTGATGGAAGGAAGGGGAGAGTGTGAGTAAAATAGCTGGTTTATATTTGTATCCTCAAATGTCAGTTCATTACCAAAGTTAGAAACCAGCTGATGCAGAAAACTCATTATGGCCTCATTTAGAATGCTTATTTCTTGAGAGACAAAAAAGAACTGCCTTGCGCAGCTTACTTGTCCAACACAAATGTGCCACGTTTTACAGTACGCTTTGGGATGTGAAGTAAAGAGGGTTTTCTTTAGGGTGCAGTATGTTCAGTACTCTCTTTAACTTGTTTATCTGCATTTATTTAAAATCCAAAGCAGTGAGGACTGCCACTGCTCTCTGTTCTCAACGCTCCTATCGATACTCGAGTCCCGTTATTTGCATAGTTTTTGCGAGTTTTGGTTATTTATTTGGCAGCATGTAAGTCAGGCAAAACGAAATGGTCGGGGAAGTCACGTCAACCATCCTTTGCACAAAAGCACACTTCTGTGATTTTAGTGCTTGTAACTGTGTCCCGTTAGCAGTGAGGTGACTTGGACCTCTGCTCACAAGCGCAGCCAGGATGTAGTAAGCTGCTTCTGGGAGTGAGATAGACGCTGGGTGCCTGGGGTAGCCCCACACACCCGCTCTGCTGGCCAGCAGGCTCTGTGTCCTGGAGCCGTGACACGCTCCGCAGAAATCAGGCTGAAGTTGCCAGCTGGTTCTGGATGAAGCCCCCCAGGTAGCTCGGTAACATCCCCCTCGCCTCGCAGTGAACAGCAAGGGTGCAATTTGTGTGGTTTGACTCGGGAGGAAATTCTGCAAGTAAAACACCCAGACAGTTTGTACTAACCCAGACAGTTAAGGATGGTCAAAAGTCTACTGCATCCGAGCTGCGGTTGGGAGGCAGCCCTGGTTGCAGGGGGCAAGTCTGCGGGGAAGGCAGGGTGCGTTGGTTGGTACTGTTTGCTTTATTTCCCTAGAGTTGCCAGCGTGTCATCCATGTCACACTTCCATGCCATTAGAAAACATCCTGAATCGAGGGAAATTTGGAAGAAGAAATTAGAAGTTAGTGTAAGAAAGAAAAAAAAAGTGCAATTGCTGGAGAAACTTGCCAATGTTTGTATTAATCTCCGCGGGCAAGATGTGATTGCCAATGGGCCAGACTTGGTCATTTGTAGGCACTTTGGGTTGTACCTTGCTGTACAGCAAATCCCGGGGGCATCTGTAGGTCCCCTTCAGAAATAAGGTATGGTGCTAAGAGGAGTAAGAGGCGTAGCTGTCCCCAGGAATGGCTGTCTCTGTGTCCCCTCTTCCCCGGGCCTGGCGGTGGCACGGCCGTGCTGTCCCCTAGCCGCTCCTCCGTCCCAGCGCCCTGAGCCCGCCGGTGCTCCAGCTCCAGGGAAAGCCAAGTGTCACCTGCAAGTTGGCGAACTCATTCTAGAACCAAATTTTATGTAACTTCATCAATTTGCCGAGGTCGTGGCCGCTCCTATTTCCCCACCTTGTGTAAAATCCCCTCGGATGAGCTACTGCAGCCTTCAAAGGCTACCTGCGGATTTCACCCACCCCCTTTCCCCCCCCCCGCTCTTACCGTTACTACATACACCCCGGTCGGTAGGAGGAGTAGACATGTTTACAAGGAGGTCCCAAGAAACTCGGGTCATGAATCTTGCATCGAGCGCTCCTCTCCGG